CTTTACATTTAGTCATTTAGCAGACGCTTTTATCCAAAGCGACTTACAAATGAGGACAAAAGAAGCAATCAAAACTAACAAAAGAGCAACAATATGTAAGTGCAAATGACAAGTCTCGGTTAGCCTAACGCAGAACACATAACAAGGTATTTATATATACACACACACACACACACACACACAAAGAAAGACAAGTAGACAGAATAGAAAAAATATAAAGCTAGTGTTTTTTTTTATAAAAAAAGAAGATAAATAGATAAAGTACAATTAAAATAGAATAGAAAGTGCTAGGGAAGCCACTCTTGCCAGTCTTGGGGCTTCAACAACTGAGAGCAAGGAAGTCTCTGTCAAATGTCCACTTCTGAAGCCAGATTGGTTGCTGTCCAGGAGGTTGTTCTGTGTGAGAAAACTAGGTGGCGTTTCTCTTCATGGTTTTGGAGGAGCTGGCGTGTAAGCCAGAGCACGCTCAAAGAGCGCAAAAGGTGATGACTGAAAAGCACGGCTCGAAAAGGCAAGAAGGAAGAGAGAAGAGCTGAAGAACTGAAGAACTGAAGAGTTGAAGAGCTGAAGAGTTGAAGAGCTGAAGAGAGCGATTTGATGGTGTCCTGAGTATTTAAACTGGGCTTTTGGACACCTCCCAAATGGTGTTTTGACCAATTAGATGTCGTCTTTGCTCGAGGTGTTGTATATTTCTCCTCGCAATTCATAAATCAAATGTTATCTTATCAGTCACATGGTCCGAGTTTTTCCCGCTCTTGCAGAGTATAATTTTGGACATGATTTCTATAACAAGAATATGATACATTTGACAAAGAATTGATTGGAAGAAACGTTTCAAGCAAGAAGATTCAAACACACACATACTAAACATGAATGTGATCCTATAAACTATTCAATAGTTATTCAAAATACATACACAATAAATGATTAAAACGTGATAGTCTAATGTGTGGGTTACATACATGATATGGAGTTATGCATACAAATGATTAGTTGCTCACAAGTCCTATTAGTGTCATTTAGATGCATATTCACATGGAAATGCAGTTTCTGTGGAAGAGGTTGTTATGCTTGCTTCAGACTGGCTAGTAGGGTCTGATTTATGAACATCCTGTTGTCTTAGGTCTCTGTGGAATTCGGCTCCTCGTGTTTCAACCATGTTTTGACCAAATCTTAGATTGTCTGATTCGGTCTGATATCCTACATT